GGAATAATTTAAGTAGCATGGGGAGGATTTGACCTTTTAAGGCTTAGTAAGGCTTAATTCTTCTGTAAAACCATCTGGATCTGGTGCCTTTTTCCTTTTCTTCATTAATTTTTCTAAACAACAAGACATATACTGAGTAGCACGTAAGTTATAAATGTGCAGCTTGATACATTATCTCTAATGAAGTATGTTTGTTTAATCATCATTGAGAGCAAGAAATAGGTGCTAATTTTCACCCCAGAAAACTGAGTTCTTCCTGGTCATCAACACCCTAACACCAGCCTGGAGATTTTAGATTTTATGTCTCTACTGGGCTCAATTTTGGTAAGCAGTATTTTTTTTTTTTTTTTGGACAGCTATTCATTCCTGACTTTAAAATTAGTTACATAGAATTGTGGAAGTTAGTCCTATGATTTAAAAGTTTGTTATCTTCTCTAATCCTTACATATATTTTTCAAGATATTCCATCAAGGTGTGTGCAACAAGACATTACAAATTCCTATATCTATGTCTTTCGTGTTTGCAATAGTGTTAGTGAAGACAGTTTTCCACTGGTGGCACATGCCTATAATCTCAGCACTGTGGGAGGCTGAGGCAGCAGGATCTCAAGTTTAAGCCCAGCCTGGGCAATTTATCAACTTCACAAGATCTTGTCTAAAAAAAGCAGGGGGGGTGAGCTGGGGACATAACTCAGTGTACAGGCTGTAGTTCAGTCCCTATTACCACTAAGAATGGAAAGGAAGGAAGGGGAAGGAAATAAAGTATCACTTTCCATATATCTAGCTGTCTAGCTAGCTACTAGTTAGCTATCTCAGTGTCTATGTGCCAAGGTGAAGAGTGACCCAAAGGCTGTCTAGGAAACGTTGCTCAGAGATGCAGTGGGGCTGTTTAATTCCTTTCCCTTCTGCCCTGCGCTATGAGGATTTGGCAGCCATAATTGAGACCCCCAAGAGGACTATAGAGGCCATCATCACTACTGCTGCTGAGCTGCTAAAATAATACTAGGGGCCACTTACCTACAGATTTCATGGTCAGTGAGATATAAACTTCTGTTTGTGCCACGCTAAACCAGCCTTCTGGAACTGGTGGCGGAATGTGTTCCTAACCAGTCCAGTGAGTAAGATTGGCAAGCCTGGAGAACTCCAGTTGTTCCTAGTACATGAATGTTTCAATGTAGGAAAATTGGGCCAGGGAGATAGCTCAGTAGAACAAGTGCTTGCCTGGCAAGCATGAGGGCCTGAGTTCAATCCCCAGTTCCACCAAAAAAAAAAAAAGAAAAAAAAAGAAAGAAAGAAAATTATCCCAGACACACAAAGTTCTACTCTAAAATGGGAACCTAGTAGCAGTTAAAACAAATGTTTATTGTAATACTATTTTAGTGTAGCCCCATTAAAAAGCATAATTTGTATAAATTATTCACTATGTATAGTTTATTCTTTTTTTTTTTTTTACATTTGAGCTAATTTATAGAATAAGCTAGAGCCTGTTTTAAAAATGATGGGGCTTAGCCTCATAGGGCTTTGAAAGGTTAAATTAGATAATCCATATGGAAGGTCTAGGCCTGTACCTGGTATATCATAAAGCACCTTATAAAAATAAATATGTTTTAATCATTACAAATAATAAAAATTTTAGCTGGATGGTCAGTTCCTTCTCATCGTGCATGTTACCATTGAAAACCTTCCTTCCTTAGGAGACCCTTGCCGGCTGTTGTATTGCAAATGAATTCTCAGATTTCTCCTATTCCCCATCAAGCCCTTTCTCTTCATTACTTGTAATTCTTTTGATTATGTATTTGCTACACGGTGTCTCCGCATGAGCGCGGGTTCCCACTGGCTGCACAGATGCTGTGTTCTCTGGCTAGTTGTTGATTGAAAAGACCACGGAGACCATAACAAGAGAATGCCATTGATGTAGGAGGTCTATGCAGAGGTGGTCATTTCTTCCAGCACATTTTGCCCTAACTTAGATTAGAGTGGAGGCGGGAAGAATTTGGCCCATGTCTAGACCCTCTGCACAGTGCAAGGAAGCCTGATGGTTTATACAGTTTCTTCTTCAATGGCCAGTGAATAGTCACTTGTACTATTGGGCTTGTACAGCCTAATGAAGTGCAAATTGTTACATTGAGAAAAAAGCATATTGTATTTAAATAGAGATTTAAAAACAGCGTAAATTTTTTTTTTCAAATAACGGCTCTTTATAATTCAAGATTTAGAGGAATTGTTCCCCTCCCCCATGAAGATTCTAGAATTTAGATTTTGAAATAGCCCTGTAAAATTACTTGGTCCCCTGGTCAAAAGGAAAGGGAAAACATGTTTTTCGTGGATAGGACGACTCCTAAGGTAGGGAACCAAGTCTCAAACACACTGAGTGACTAGAAATGCTCTCATGACCAAGGCCAGAGCTTATAGGGAGTCAGATGTGTGCTCAACACTGCTTTGTGGAAGGAGGAGAATGGGGCGTGCGATTTCATAGTGCCCTGTGCATTTCCCTTGGGGCCGCTGGTCCCGCTACCTGGCAACATGATGGAGACCTTTTGCTCTGTGTTCTTATATGATCCAGGAAAGCGGTGGGCTTTGACTACCTAAGCTGGAAGGTCATCTCCTTTGCTTTGTAGCCATGTATCTGGGGACCTGTCTAGGACACTCTCAGCCTCTATGCTTCATTGATTAGATTATAACAAAGTCTGGATTCATCTCCTTGGGCAGTGACTGGCACGGAGGAGGTGCCTGATGACTGGGATATTATTGCCCTTCTTCCAGAAGATTCTGTGATGTCTCTGCTGGTTTGGGCCATTAAGTGGAGTTCCAGGTTGTGCTTTCCTTTGCTATAATTACTTTGTAAGCTGGGACTTTATTTTATTCATTTTGAGGACCATTGATCTAATGCTGTGACATTGATGTGTGAATTATGAAGTAGAGGACACAGAATTTCTCTGTCAAAGGGGTAATGGGTTGCTATCTTGAAAAAGGTGATGGGGATGGTAAATGAAGGGTGGGGATCGACCTTGGAATTCTAGTCAGTATAGCTGTGCCTGATGCAACACTCTTACATTTGAATGTAGTTCGGCATGCAGACGTTAGTGAGATGGGGGAGTGGCTTGGGAATTATGCAGATCAATGGCGTGATCTCCTACACGTATTTTCATGGCAAGCTCCTAGTAATACTGGGTTTCTATGTTTATTGAGGGGTAGATGACTTCTGAGACTTAAACCTTACCCTGACCCTAAAACCTAACCCTAACCCTAACCCTAACCCTAACCCTAACCCAAACCCTAACCCTAACCCTAACCCTAACCCGAACCCTAACCCAAACCCTAACCCTAACCCTAACCCTAACCCTAACTGGAACCCTAACCATATTGCTAAGCCTAACTCTAACCCTAACTATATCACTAACCGTAACCCTAATCTTAATTCTGACCTTCCCTGTATTCCTAACCCTAAACCTAACCCTAGCCATATCACTAACCCTAACCCTAACCCTAACCCTAATCATATTGCTAACCCTAACCCTAACACTAAATGTAGACTGAATATTGTGTAGGCTTTGGGAAGCCTTATGGAGATGGAATTGTGTACTTGTTACTACTTCGGCCCTCCTTGGGGCTCATAATCAACATGGGCTATCCTGTGTGATGAATTTGGCTGGGATTAATTTGGTTTGGAGGTCAAGAGGTGGATTTTGGGCTTGGGTTAAAAATTAATGACTCAGATCCTTCTGGGCCTATTTCTGGTTGATGGTGGGTTGACAAAGTTCTCTTTCCTGCAGCCACATCTTGGGGTACCACCGTCGTGATGGGTGAACCTAGGGGTGAATGACTGTAGAGGTTGTATGTGAACCTTGAGCTCAAGTCATACCCCAGTTAGGTTTCATGGCATGTAATTAGGGTAAGCACTGATGACTGCCCCACCTCCAAGTATAATGCAGTCTGTGTATTTAATGATGTCCCCCATCTGAGATATTAGCTTTTTATATTTTTTCAGTAAATTGCATATTCATGACTTTCATTTTTTGATGGTTTTGCTTATTCATGAAAACTCTTTACATATGAGAAATCATCCCATTGTTGCACTTTTGTCCAACCTTCCCCCCCTTGTATTTTTATGTTTTCATTTTCCCTGTAGTCATCTTCACCCCCTCATGACTTTTTAGGTCTTTTTTTTTTTTTTTAATTTTTTTATTTATGTGTGTGTGTGTGTGTGGCCAGCTCAGCCCACCAGGGGGCGGGGCTGGCTGGCATGTGGTGCTGGGGGATTGAACCGTGGTCCCTGTGCTTTGGTAAGTTTATTCTAAGTAGGTGCTTTAGACCACTGAGCCATCTCTCCAGCCCCAACTTTTTAGGTCTTAAGTCACACTTAGAACCCATTCTGGCTTCTATAAACCAAGATGTTAATTATAAAGACAGTTTCTCATAAAAATGCGTTTAAAATTTAGATGTGTTTCATAGATCCATGTCTAATTTACTCTGGTATGTGGTATGAAGTAGGCCTTAGCCTCACCTTTTCCCCCAAATAACAAACCTGGTGTTTTAATACCTTTTCTTTGTGTGTGTGGTACCGGGGATTGAACTCAGGACCCTGCACTTGCCAGGCAAGTGCAATACCATTTTTTTCTTAATGCCACCAATTGGAAATATTGTACTTGTAAATTTACCTACATAATTCAGCCCATATTTTAAAACAAAAACCTAACACCTTACTGAGGGAGACCAGATTTTTAAAAGCGGGGGAAGACCTATAAGGTGGGACTCTCGGCACAGGGCAGCCTTGATGCAAATGTAGCATTCTCTGTGGCAAAGATAACGGGTAACTTTTTGTGGTGTGCCAGAGAATAGGTCACCAACAAGTACACAATCGCAGAGTTTTACGTCAATTTATAATCACAGAACCTGTACTTTGACAGGGGCCCCTCCCGCTCTGCATTCAAGGGCCGAGCTGAACCCAGGACGATGGGATTTAGCTGGGGAATCGCGAATAACAAGAGCGTGACAACATCCTTTGCTCACATTTAATTTTTTATTTTGATTTTTTAATGCTGCACAACACAATATTTATTTTATTTGTTTCATTTATTTCATTTATTTTTTATTTCTGTTTGCTGCTGTTATTTTAGTTACTGAAAGTGAGAGGGAACTTTTGTGGCCTTTTTCTGTAGGCCGCCTTAAGCTATCTAAATTTGGAACATCTAAGCAAGCAGAAGGGAAAAGGGGGTTTCACAAAAATCACTCAGGGAAAAGGAAAGGTTGCTTTGTTAATCATGCCCTATGGTGGGTGATTAACTGCTTGTAAATTACGTTTCACTTTTAATTAATTGTGCTTAAGGCTGTCATTAAGGTTGAAGTTCCCTTCTTAAAGCAGCTCGTACTGACGAAGGTGCATGCGCTGGATGATGTCGCGGCAGTCGTTGAACACACGGCGGATGTTCTCAGTGTCCACAGCGCAGGTGAAGTGAGGGTAGCAGTAGTGGCGCCCATCTCCACTAGCAGTGCTGATTCTCTGTGGGCAGAGATGCAAGGCTCGGTTAGGGCCTCCGCCAGGGACCTCGTGGCCACCCAGCAGGGATGAGCATGGGCCCGCCCACCACCCACGTTATCTGAGAGCACAGCCAGCTCATGGGGCACACAGGTGACATGCATGCTGGATACACTGGTGAGCGGGGAAACGGAAGCACTGGATGGTTTAATCCCCAAGTTCAGAATTAAGTTAACTGACACCTGTAAGAAAAAAAAGAGGGAACAATAGACAGTTCTACTCACCAGAAACTCATCTCTAATGAAGTACTTGGCCCGGGTCACGCGTGGGTCCTCTCCGGGCTCGGGAGTAGCTACAAAGAACGTAAATATCTTATTAGTTAAGGTGAAGAATACAGCAGAAGTGCTAATGTCATTACAGTCCCTTAACTTCTCAGTTAATTCCTGATTTTTCCATATGAAAGTTGTTTTTCTACCTTCCCCTATAGATCCTTTACAGTCGGGGGTTGGGAGTATTCTTAAAAAAGAACCACCTGAGTGAACCACCACCATGAATGGAATGCGTACCATCCTCAGGAGTAGTGTAGCGAGCAAATTCTGGAAAGTAGTCCTCAATCTTCGATTTCCCAGCAAGGACTTTCTCAGCGAGCAGATCTTGCTTGTTGAGGAACAGAATCACAGAGATGGTACGCAGCCATCTAACAGAGAGAGAAGCAGGTTTAACACACAGCAAGAGAAAGCATGCTTTCTGCCAGGGGCTGAGATGCTCGCCTAGAGAGTGCCATGGGAGACTTTTCTAGAACAGTGCAAGCCAGAGCCCGGAGAGCCGTCCCAGGGCTCTGGGCAAGTGGGGCGGGGTCACGAAACACACCTGTTGTTCCAGATGCTCTTGAAGAGGTTCAGAGCCTCCTGCAGGCGGTTGGTCTGGTTGTCCTCCCGGATGACCATGTTGTAGCTGCTGCTGGCCACCACGAAGATGATGGCAGTCACATCTGAACGGCAAGAAACCAAAAGCAGCCAGCGTTAGAAGTAGACATGCTCACTAGCGACTGCAATAGCAGCAAGGCCTCTGTGTCCGTACCATTGAAGCATTGGATCCACTTGCGGCGCTCGTCGCGCTGGCCACCCACGTCGAACATGCTGGTGGGAGAAGGGACATCTGGTCATTCCAAGGGGCCACTGCCCTAACTGCCAGAGAGCATGTTAGCAAGTCACTGTCTGTGGCTCATAAAAGGTACCATTCACTTACTGGAAGTTGACTTTGTCCACCTGGAACTTGGTCTCAAAGATTCCAGAGGTCAGGACACGGCAGCGAAGCAGGTCCTATCACAAATTATGTGTTAGTGGCTCTCATTAAAACCAACCAAAATAATAACTGCCCATTGGAGAGAAACTCTTGCTTAGCTTGAGAAGAGGTTCTAAATCCTCCCACAGTATGGGTTTTACATACCTGGTCGCTGGGCACATAGTCGGCCTGCTTGATGACATCAATCTTGTCCAGAAAGCTTGGAGAAAGAGCAGACACAGGAGCATGGTCACAGAGCTTGCACCACCTTGCCCACTGACCAAGCTCCCTGAGGGCTGGCTAGGTGGACAGGAGCTTCCCGCAGAGATGCAGAGGACAGCCAGGGCGGGGGTGGGGCTTTGTTCTTGCTTTCTAATTTTAAAAAGATTGGTTTTATACCTATCAACCAGTAGAGCAAGGACTCGAAGCCAGACCTACCAGACCCCTGACAAAAAAAAATATTAATTTTCAAATTGTCTGGCTTTGACTAAACAGACAATAATTTGAAAATCGCATGTCTCCAAGTTACTAGGCTTTAAAAACAATATGCGAAGTGGCAGGCTTAAAAGCAGCAAGAACTTTTTCTTCAAGGGCAAATGAGATTGTTTTAGTTCCTCAGAACATGTCCTTCCTTTTTACTTTTTAAGAATCTCATTGATTAGTGAGAACAAAGGCGCAGGCACAAAGGGGCCTTCTGGGCCTCGCCACACAGAACAGGAAACACACGCGAAGTTCCCTTCCGCCTATCGGTCCGTGAAGTAGCTCACTTCACATATTTAAAACTTCTAAAGTGGTGTCTTGCCTGTGTTGCTGGCCTACATACACAAGTAGGGAAAGTGAATACTGCAGAACTGGGGAACCTTAATTAATATGGACAATTAGTGTGCAAACCAGTTTAGGCTTTTTTTGGGGGGTGGGAATTGTCTTACTATGGCTAATCAGAAAATAAAGTCACAAAAAGCGAAAAATCTATTTAAAGAAATCTCTTGGTTTTGGTTTTTTTTTCCTCCCCCGCCCCTTTCCTTTTTACCAGTTCAGAGCTGGTCTGGCTTAAAGGATATACTGCCTTGCCCAGTCAATCTTACATTACAGCACGGGTCCACAAATAGCTCCCCAGCCACCCTGGCCTCCAGCACGTTGCCATGGCAACAGAACCACAGTTCTATAAATAGATCCTCAGCACCAAATCTTGTGAGAAGACATCTGGAGCGGGGCCAACCAAACTCCAGCTCAACAAATAAAAATAGGCAGCTTAAGAAATGGGCACCAGACCACTACCTCCACTACGACAGAAAGGCAGTCAACACGGGAAACACGCTGGTCACTGCACATGTAGGGGTTTTTAAACCATCAGATGAGGGACGACATTTTAGAAGTTTTAAGTTATGTTCTCTTTTTTGGAGTTTCCTGAAAACTTTTCAAAATCTGTGCAAGTAGTACCGTTGCCAAATAAAGTTTCAGGGGTAATGCTGTATTGCTTTTCTTTTTTAAAAAAAAGTGAAACTTTTAAATGACGTAACCAAAACCAACCTGGCTAAATTACTGTTAATTTAACTGTTCCACCCCCCTGCTCCCAGCATTCACAACAGGGATGATTAAACCCTCCTAATCTCATACCTGTACTTAACTCCTGACTTGGATCCAAAATACAAATCTCAAACAATTCCAGGATTTCCATTTGTTTTGCGTTACTATAATTAGTGCTTCCAGCTTTCAGTTCAAACTTTGGAGAAAATCAGGGACTTTGCTGAAGGAGAAGTGGGGGCAGGGGGCCACAGACGACTGTTTTTCTGTTCCTTGAAAGACTATGCAACTTTGAGTATTATACCACAATCTACCTATGTACCTGACAAGTGGAAATAATTGGGTAACTTCCTACGAGAAAGCAGGACTAGGCAAAGGTAACGTGGTTGATGCCACCGCCTCTAGCATCAGCTCACGTAAATCTGGAGCTCTCTCTACTGTCCGCCCCTGCCTGTCCCAAAAGACACACCTGCTCTGAGTTGCTGTGTGCATCATCGGCAAGCAAAAGATAGCGCTTCAGTTTTTTTAAGACTTGGACCACCATATGCTGGCTATGCCGTGTGCAGGATGACAGGGTCATAAAGTATTTAAAAGGCAACTTTGCAGATGTGTGGTAGTGAGTCCTCTGGAAGAGTCCTGCAGGGTGTGGGAGCCTTCGGGAAAGGGGCCTCCTTAGGCCACAGGTGGAGCGCCTTTGGCATCGGGCAGAAGTGTGTGCTACAATCTGTTCTCTGAATCGGGCTTTCCCTCTTCATTTACCTGTCAGGCAAACCTCACATCTAGGGTTTAATTTGGAGGTGTCTCTCACCCTGCGCCTGTGAGGCCTACCTCTCCTCCCACTTTTATTTGTAAATACTGTGCTGAGGTTTGGCTTAAGATGTAAAACTCACTGACTACTTAGAACAATCTTTGGTGTAAAGGAATAAATAAGGTATGACACAGCTCAAAAATCAAGAAAACACGAAGACTACCTCCATCCAGATTGACATAATCTACTAGTAATGCGCACTGTGGCAGCTGCTGGCCTTATAGCAGAAAACAGCAAAGCAATTAACTAATTAACTGCCAGGGAGTGGGGCAGCATGTTTTTCTTCTGTTATTCTTTGTCACACTGTTAAGTTACAGCAATAGGATGTAAGTTTTTACATTATCCAAAGTGTGACAGCTACCCAATTTCCTGAAATGCTTACAGGTCATTTCAATTAATTACTTCAAACTAATTAATTAGGAATGTCACTGCAGTGCAAGTTAATTATCATGTTTCCCTAACAGGTATTGTTTATATAAAATAGTGTCCCTTCTAAAAAGTGCAATTAGATGCTTTTTGCAACAAATGAATCAAGACTAGAACTGTATGCGGGTCACTGCTGGGCTGTGAGCAGAATTACTGGAGCTTCGGGCACTCAAGTTTTCCTTGGGCGTCCTGAGGAGGGGCGGGAGATCGCTACTCACTACTGGGCACAGTCGATCAGCTGGTACTCATTGGAGCGCTCATAGCAGGCGCGGACGCCTTCGTCCTCCCAGAGAGCCTTGGCATGCTCGTAGAATTCCTGGAAGTGAAGCCAAGAAAGAACATTCAGGAAAGACGTTCAGGAAAGCATGCACCACATCAAGAAGCCTGTCACCTAACCCGAGACCGTGGCTCACTCCATGACCCACACTTTTCAATTCAACATACGCAGGAGTTACCATAGTGAACTCTTTTTGTTCAAATGGTGAATTTCTAGCTTAGGCTAGTTTTTTCCCCCTATCTTGAGGAATAGGGGAAAGTAAAGAACTAGATAATTTTCTTTGTGGACTCTTTTATCTAGAAAGAATACTGGCTGCTTTGTATTTGGCTATACGGTATGCCATCGGTCTTGTGGAAATAAGAAACTTCATGGCTGGGAGGTGCTCAGGCTAACTTTTCTTTCCAGGAAAATGTGAGTTTTACTAAAAACGATGCTGGGGAGTGGTAGGCAGGAACGTGAAGTTCAGGCGCAGGCGAGGTTGCTCGAGTTAGAGTCTCGAGGTATGCTGAAGAGCTGCCCTCTGTCTTCCGGAAGAAATTGAGAACCATAGAAAGCTCGGGTCGCTACTCCTATTTTGTTCACTGCTTAAATTTTTAAAATTAATTCCTATTTTTAACAAACATATCTACATCTACTAATTAAGCGCTACCTCCCTGCTCATCTTATTTCGCAGCCAAACCTATTGAAAATCTACAAAGCCCCACTCCACGAAAGCCGATCAGAGGCAACAATAACTCATTGTGTTGGCTGCAGACACCTCTTCCTTCTGGGCCTATAAATCTGCATCTTGCCAGCTGGTGGTCCATACCCGTCTTATGCGGGTCTCCCCCTAGCAGGGGCCAAAATGTAGGCACTCAGGCTTGGCAATCCTGCGCTGCCTAAGAGGGGCTGTTTAGGAAGCACACCGACAGGCCTTTCTCAGGGTACCATGCACTGAGTGCATGCAAGAAATTTTTAATTTTGGTAGTATTCTATTTTGTAGTGTATGCTAGTTAGAATGTTAAGTCTCTAAAAAAAAATTTAATGAGAAAATACGTCGTTTGCCCCACGCAAGGACTGATTTTAGAAAAATCCTTCATGTTAAAAGGTCACTGGTTTCATACGCAAATATGCTCCTGATGCTTACGTACCTCTGCGTGCCACACTGAACCTACAGCTTTGTTTGTCCTCACGTGTGGATGAGGGAATAATTAGGCCTGTCATAGCTCAGGACTTTTCCCCTCATAAACATTTACAATCTAATAAAGTAAGAATACTATTATTAAGGTGTAACGTTTATTTGTGGGGTGGGTGAGCCACAGTTTACAAGGGGTAATAGAATTTTGCTAATCCACCTTGAGCAAAGCCCTAATAGGATGTTAGTTTTGTTTCCCCTTTTTTTTTCTTAATTATCAGGGCTCGTATGGAATCCTCATCCTAAGTAGCCGCCCAACGGACCTGTCCGGCTGCGCTTGTGCCCTGGGTGTGTGCGACTGGGGCCTGGTGGGCTCACCCCACTGCTGAGAGAAGGGGCTATGGCTTACAGGTGGGAAGTCAAAGTCAGGCACATTCATCACGCTCAGAATGTAGTCCACTCTGAACTGGTTCTCGGGGTTGGCCAGCTCCACGGGGGGCACCAGGTTGCTCATGGCGGCCACGATGGTCTGCAAACGAGTTAGCAGAACAGTCAGGGGACCAGCACTGGTGCGAGGGGGGGAGTGCTAAGAGCTGGGAAGCAAGGAGCCAGACACGTACTTCAATAGCCTCCTTCAGGTTGTTTTTGATGTCCTGCACTTTGGTGGCCTTCTCACTACAGTGGGATTGAAAAGAAAAAGAAAATCATATTGCATCCTGCCCACCAGGGACATCACTTTCATCAAGAGTCTCCAACTAAAAAGCATAGTATTCTGTTCTTCAAGGAGTTGTGGGTTCAGATCTGTATGGAGATTAGAAGCACTTGAATAAATTATAGCTTCCCAAATGTGTCCTGAGGTCATGCCCACCAGGGCAGCTGAGCCAATGGGCATCGAGATTGTGATCAACTGTACCAGAAATGACACCTGGCCCCTCTGCTATTGCAGGTGTGGCTCTCCTCCTATGTGCAGCCCCCAGGTCACACACTGACGCTTCCTAAAAGGCTTCTGCTTGGCCCTTGTCACTAGCCCTACTGGGGAGGAGGGTTCGATAGGTCACCATAGGAGGGGATTCAGGATTCACTCTGCCGCTAGATGAGCAGACTGAGAACCACTAAATGCCAGTGGTGGTGGTAAGGTTGTTAATTACAGATTCTAGGGCTTTGTAGTCCTATTATTCATTTATTTAAACACTTGTGCATCTCAGAGATTCTATCTTGGGTATTGCACTAGCAGTGTATCTGGTTTACAACTTAATACACATTGATTCCTCAGTGTGATTAGGAGTAAAATAAGATCCTCCCCCAGAAGCCCTAATGACAGAGGGGATCAGTTTCCCCCAAAAGTCCTAATATAGAAGGGGATCAGCTTCTCCCAAGAAGTCCTAATGATAGAGGGGGGTCAGCTTCCCCTAAAAGTCCTGATCTAGAGGGGGGTCAGCTTCCCCTACGGAGTCCTAGTGATAAGAGGGGGTTCAGCTTCCCCCCAGGAGTCCTAGTGATACAGAGGGGGTCAGCTTCCC